AAAATTGTTGCAGCAATCAGAAAGGCGTTCTGAAATGTTTGATATTCACGTGTTGGTCAAATAGTGCTGGCTTTGACGACAGATGTTCTGGTTTTACGGATTGTATATTTTGAAAATTCTAAGTATCTTTATAGGCAATAAATCTGCATAACAGGAGGTTTATGTTCAAAGTGGTACATGTTGTTACAATGTTGCACACAAAGGTCGTATCGAGTTCGTCACACTGTATTACTTAGAATGTCTCGTTTATTTTCACGTATGAACGCTCTTTTACTTTTATAATTGCAATATCTTTTACAAATATACATTTCGAATACAACACCCTTATTTGTAATGTTAACATTTTCTGTTCTCTTCAGTATGAGGTAATATTTACATTGTGCTCGTATTTCCCTCGCCAACATTGTATTTTTTTGTTTCCTTTCCATTTTATTAAGCAATACGAAATAATATGAACTACAGAAAATAAAAAAAAGCGACAAAATATCCATAGGCATGCGCATAAATTCAACTGACACTGAACAGTTGAATGAGCAGTCATTGTAGAGAAAAAATAAAAGCAAAACGAACTGTTTTTTTTAATATATACACATTGAATTACTAAACACGTTTGTGTTTTAACAAGATCAAAACAACAATGAGTCGTGTGAAGAAAAAAAGGATAATAACGTAAAAATGACAATACGGCAAGAAAACTAGAGTAAAACAGATAAAACCAGATCTAAATTCTGATCCTCGTACTAGGAGTATAGTTTATTCACCATTTTGATTTTATCACATGTGCAAAAGACAATCTTAAACTCATGCACGAAACGGGTTTTGGAAAATGAATAATAGTACGGGAACCACAACAAAAACTAATGCTTTCTATAAACGGATAGAATTGTGTTTTATTAAGATATTTGTTTGCTAAAGCTTATTAAAAATTTCGATAATATTTTTATCGTAATTTCTAATAACATGTGCGTCTGAACATTAAAAAAGTAAAACAAGAGAGACAGACACGATACACTCAAACACATGGAAAAGTACCAAAAACGTAGAGTAAATATGTTCAATAGTTTATTTTTCGTTTATAATTGTGGAATTTTCTTCCGTATTAGCCCATGTCAAACGTTCTTCGTAGAATTTAATCACCATTTGAGGTGATTTAACATTGGCTGAAAAAGAGAGAAATCTATATTAGAGAACACCATTTCTCCACTTATGTTTCAGATAGGGAAAATACGGCGCTAACTTAATCATGTTTGAACGGTCATTATTTTTTCCACATACCTATTCGAGCTGGAACCAATTCTGGTTTGTCAGTTTCTTTCCATTTGATTAAAAACATCAGTTCACCGTAAACATCTGTTGCTAAAAAACGAAACGGAAAAAATAATAGATTATAGATAGATTATTAATGTAAAAGAAACGTATGATAAATACCTCCAAGAATTTTTTCAATATCATAACCACGTCCATATCCATAGTCGTTTGCTCGTTTACGTTTACTATTGTCAAGATTTTGATTTGGTGCTGATCGAAAATCTTGATCGTCATCTCGACTCAAATTTCGACGTTTAGTATTTGTTGCATTTATCGATGGCGATGATTTTTCTGTCTGTTGTCTTGCTCTTGTACGCTCAAATTCAGCAATAAGATCTGGACAATCGAGATTCGTTTCTGGTTCCTAGAAACACAAAATCAAAATAATAAACAAAAAAAGAACTAGTTTTTTTAACATACCCAGGTATTTTCTGTATCTGGAAAATTTTTCCATTTTAAATAAAATTCAACAACATTATTCTTAATTCTTCGATCTAATATTCGTTCAACAATAAATTCCTCTTCTTCTAAGTCATCGTCATCATCCGATGATGATTGTGTATTTTGATTTTTTCCCATGTTTTCTACTCTAATCTACAAATAACGAATTTTTCTATAAACGTGATTATTAAATCAAACTATTTCTGTAGCCTTTCTCCTCTCTATCAAAAACCTTGAGATGAATGAACGACATAAATGAGTAACAAATGAAAAAGAACTAAATATTATTCTTTCTGTTTAAAAGAACGAAGGATATCCACATTGTCAGTGTCAAATGGAGCCTAGTTTATTGATTGATTACATTACACCTACTAAATACACTACAAATTTTATCTGAATTAAATTAATTTAATAGAAGTAGTCATTCACACTACCATCTCTGCACAAATCAACTACGTTATACGAACCTCCTAACTATATGCGTCTATGCAAGTCGTAATGATTCATTTTTCCGTAGCATTTGAACATATTGATTACGTCATTGGAAGCTTTGTATCTAAACAAAACTTTATTACTAGTATTTAAATTCACCGTTCAATTTTTTTACGTTTCCTCATAGTAACTGAAATATACTTAATTCAATGCTCTATGGTGGCGTCCTCTATAAGTACTCGATAAATATAATAGACCTGAAAAAATGAATACTGGAAGAAATTACTAAGACAATGCTTGAGATACAAGGGTTTCATCCAATCAATGTGTGCTCGTAGAACCAAAAAAAGTAAAGATATCCCGTATATTTTTTTCACTGATGTCGTAATACGAGGGCATGTGGCCTCAGTAACAATCCATTATACTAAATAGTGCACAGCTGGGCGGATGGGTGATGAATATTTTTATAGAACTCTTAAATTTAAGTGTGCACTCAAGTATTTGTGTTTCCATTTGACATGTAGCAAGAGTTACAGTTGAAGGAGTGTAAAAAAATTTCTCTCAGAGATCATACAAATTTTAAAAAAGTTCTGTTCGAGGCACGCAACTATATTACTGCGTTATTCAACCTGAAAAACAGTAAAAATTCTTGATTCAAAATTCTTCCGTTCTGTACCATTTCGAACGGTCCTCCTCTCCCAAATCCTAACCCTATTCGGTACGGATCCGCTTAATCCAAATTTACTTTATTTATAGAAATCCCTTAACTGAAGATGCGATGTATATTTCATTAGTGGCAGATTTGTTTCTTACAGTTCACGTGAAAACTATTCAAAACTTCATTTACATATCTTGCCAAACGTTCCGTACGTTCTTCACTAGTATAACAAATAGATGCTATTGGAACATTTTCACAGCATCATTACACGTCGCATATCTGTGGCTCAGCCCACAAAGATACCACATACAATAACAAACTTTTCAAAAACAAA